CTCTCCGACATACCCGACTGGCCAAGAATCGAAGCCGTTGCTGAGTTTAGACTACGTACCGGACACGATTGCTTGGCAAAACACCTTCACAGATTGGGAGTATACACTCAACCCACATGCCCTCTATGTAACCTACAGGAGGAAATGAAGAAGACCCACCTGATTAGATGTCCAGTCCTAAAAACAAGGACGGAAAGCCAAAGATACTGGGAAGCAAGAAGACTGCTAATGAACTGCTATTAATTAACTGCTATAAATGTACCCCCCCTCCTCTCTTGGGGGGAAGCTGAAGTCAAAGATTAAGGGCTAATGATAAATATCATAAAGCCTGCCATTTGAAATAAATATAAATTTTTCATGTTGTCTCATCAATGTAACCATACTGTAACATCAATTCCCAAATTTAATATTTCTTTTCTATTTTTTCTTTTATGATAGAATTGACTCTTCTTGTTATTCAATAATTCACATGGAACACTCCAATACAATTGAGTTTGTCAATTCTAGTGATTTTTATTTGAACACATGGGTTCATGTCAATTTAACGAATATTTTCTGGTTTTAAATATTATTTGCAACTGATGCCGATCAAAACTGGCTAACGAAAGATAATTCATGGAAGGATAATTTGAAAAGTTCCAGACTCCAGAAAATAGTTCACGCCAAATCTTTAAACCCTCATTGTAAACTTTAGGGTTAGAAAACAAGAGTTGTCTAAATTTCTCTTATTTGAAAATCTCCTTCAAAACAACTCGTATAATGCATCAATGCAAACGGATTTTAATATTTTTCCATATATTTTTTTGAAATAGTAATTAGAATTACCAAGACACATTTGCGCCAACTTTGGGAAAATCGCTAAATTATAAACGACTACCTAATGCTCCTTTAAGTAGAGATACATATGGTAATGGAATGTAGTAGACTAGAAAGATGGCTGTCAGGTTTTATTATCACTCTCTCGACCAACTATTCAAGCCGCTTATCAGAAGGACAAGTAAAAGGACACACAGCAAGCACTGAAAAGGCCAACGAGGTATAAAATTCTAGAGGTATTGTAAAAAATGAATTTCACTAATTCTTAGAATATGCTAAAGCACTGAGAGCTTTAATATGTCTATAGGCGAATATTTACCATTTGACCTTACTTACCAATAGTCACTATTTGAAAATAGCAAAATAGGCAAAGTAAAAATTGATTTTTAAATAATAACCTTTTTATATTCACAGCATTCATCAGCACTGGGTTTCTTTAACAAAATTTTAGATTATGCATTTTATCCAACTTAAAATATATATTATCTGAATTAGCTGATTTCAAAATAAAGTAGGATTCAGTGCCTTAGTTCAAACATTAGCAAGTATAAAGTTGTCATTAAACTTTCATTAAAAGCTTCAAAACTTTATTAATTTCCCATTTAATTTACATGCAGAAAAATGGGAATGATTTCAATTCAGTTGAAGCAGTGTGTATTACTATATACAAAGCATTTATTAGGACGGAGATAAGATTTTAAGGAGGCGCCATGTAATAGCACTCGAAGCTCTGCTCCGATAGAGGAAACAAGTAATCTGCTGTTCGACCAATTATCCAAGAACCATGGTATGTATGCCATATATCTATGAAAAATCATAAGTCACACCCACTTTCTCATGAATGAAATTTGAGTGCTATCCAGAGAGGACTTATGAACAAATATATCGAATAATATTCCAATAACTATTTAGAACTGTTTGATAATGTAAATAAGAAAAATCATATAATTGTCATAATAATATTTTATCTGAGATTCTAAAATATTTAAAACGTGTAAAACTTAAGATTCATGCTAATTTATTTGGATCCATATGACGATCTAATTTGTAAACAATTTGGCCGCCTCGCGTGAAGGCGATCAATGCGCCAATACATGATAACCGCGCATTACGATCTCTCTTTTGCTTTCGATCACGCATCATGTCCAGTATCGAAATAATTAAACCAGATCCAGACTACAAAAGTTATAGGTAATTTGTATAAACATTTGGATAATTTTCTAAGATATCTTCAATTACAAAATGGAATTAGAGTTATGCTTATTTCTAATGTAAAGCCTGGAGAAACTATTGAACCTCTTGATGATAATCAGAATGGTGTGAACGATGAAATTGAATCACAAGGAAGCCATGAGGAAGTTCCCGAGTTTGATTTACGAAAAGTTTGCAATAATTTTACTTCTATATTGTTATTTTAGTCTGCTGCCGCGCTTGCTGTTCATGTAGGCAGCTTTTCGGACCCCAAAGAAGCTCAAGGATTAGCTCACTTCTTGGAGCACAGTAATTTTAAAATTTAGATGTAAATTTAAAAATCTTAAAGTGGTTTTTATGGGCAGTGAAAAATATCCTCGTGAAAATGATTTCGATGATTATGTCTGCCATCGAGATGGTTCTCTTAATGCTTTTACAGACGGTGATTATACTACTTTCTACTTTGAGATACAAAGAAATTACTTCAAGGAGGCCCTTGATCGTTTTGCACAATTTTTTATCTCTCCATTACTACGTAAAGATTGCGTTGATCGTGAACTGGAAGCTGTTGACAGCGGTGAGTTAACAGAGTCCATTTTCCTATTATCCTGCAGTGAAATGCAGTCTATCATGTCAGTTTAAATTATGCGACGTCTATATATATTCATTTGAGTCTCTTAATATTCTCTTGGTTTTAGAATTCGAGCTCTCTAAAGTGAGTGAATCGTGTCGATTGTCTCATTTGATTACCCAATTATCCAAAGCGGATTCTCCTTACGCCAGTTTCATGTGTGGCAATCGAATTTCATTGAAAGAAATACCCGATTCCGCTGGAACGAATATTTACGAATTGCTTAGAAAATTCCAATGTCATTATTACAATGCTTCACTAATGACACTAGCAATTGAATCGAAAGGTATTCTGTGTTTTGTCTTTCACTTTATTTGTAGATACACTCGATTCGCTTGAAACCCTGGTGGAAGGAATTTTTAGTTCTGTTCCGAATAGGGAGTACAAAGCCCCGGATTTCTCTATCCATGTTAACCCTTTCCCGGCGTCGGTTTACAAGAAGCTATATAAAGGTAAGACTTACTAAATCTACCTATTTCTGCTTATAGTTGTGCCCATTAAGGAGACAACAACATTGCATTTTGTATGGAGTCTACCACCTATGCGTTCTCATTATAGGTAAGCTTATTTTCATTTCCTTTACAGTAGTTTCCGCAATTAATTAAAATGGTGCAATTGGTACAATTCTTGGAAGTCTAGTTTTTTAACCTAATAATGTGTCCTCTAAATATTGACTCAAATCCGAAGTTAGGAATAAAACAGAAGCACAGCTTATGAAAGACTATATTAATTCAGTGTATATAAACACTAGTCGACTTCCTATTGCTAATGTGTAAGTATTAAATTACTGCCGAATTATTAGCAGCTCTGCCCCCAACAGTTGAACTCTCCGGAGTGTCATATTTATTGCTCTTTTGACGGAAGCAGAACAAAATGTCTGAGTTTAGACCTTTTTTGTCTGCATTCTATTTGTCAGTGGAAAGGAATGGGAGTTTTCTTTGTGCGTCGGTGGCTCGTTGCCAATATGCGTGTCTGTCAGTTTGATGGTCATCATGCCAATGACCACTAGTGTGGGTAATGAGCAATCACCCCTTTTGAATTCCGCTCAACAATCTTGGTAGAAGAGTGTGAATTTTAGTGTAAGGGCCAGCCACTCCACCTATTTACTCAAATCACGAGTTGTGAGCGTTCTTTTAATATGTTTGCCGATTATTATTTTCTCGCCATTCCTTTTGAATTTTAGATCTGCGGCTTTAAAATTCCTTTCAACAATCTTTGGATATGAGGGGAAAGGGAGCTTGTTAGCATTCTTGCGAAAGAAGTAAGTCCGCTTCAAGCATACTCGATTACTTGTTTCGTCATCGATGTCTTACTTGACTTCATTTTTTAAAAATAGGAATCTCGCCATGTATTTGTACGCTGGATGTTCGAATGATTGTTTGTATGACAATGACATGACTGCTCTGTTCGAAATTACTATCGGTCTGTCGGATCTTAGTCGATCAAATCCTACTCAGGCAAGTGTTGTCTTGTCCTAAATATCAGACCTCTTTTATCGAAAGCATTTATTAACGTTTGTTTCACCGTTTGAGCTTCATTCGAAACAGCCCATGATCATGCTTCTGTTCCCAATGTGTTTTTTGGAAATGCTTTCCCTTTAAAGTGCATGCGTGCAAAATCGGGGTTTACGAGATTGATACTCATCGGTATGCATTCAGAGATGTGTGATCATGAAAGATTATAGAATGAGTCAATACAATCATTTTTTGTATTTTGTCTTTATTTTTCTCTCACTCTCTTTAGCTTGTGACCTACGTCTTCTCTTTCCTACGAATGCTTCGCGATTCGGCCAACTTCAGTTTAGCGAATCCATCTGATGAAGGCACACCTTGGGGTGATCGCTCCTTTGCCTCTCTCATTCCCGAGTTCCAGCAAATTTGGGCGGCCACCTTCCGTTTCCAAGAGCCGATGGAACCTCACGTGGAAGTTCAGAGCATTGCGTTGGCGCTTCGACTTTATCCACCGGAAGAAGTTATTGCTGCCGGCAAAATCATGTTTGAGGGGGATCTGAAGGTATCGTTTTTTGTCGTTTGTTCTAAATATTCAAACATGGGAGGCCAGTGTCGTGAAATAGATGGCGGTTTGTCTCGTTTTCGATCTAATTAATTCTTTTCGCTATTACATTGATGGCACAGTTGTCAACGTGCTCATCAGCTAAGACAGATGTCATGAGATCGTTGCTGTACAGCTTCTTATGTTTTTGATTTGAAACGGTTTACAAGTTTTGCGGGCTGATTTGGTGAAATGTGTAAGTGATTTTTAAATCCGTGGTCAACCAATCTACATACTGGCCTAGGAGTGATATAATTCGAGTTACCCATCAAAGAGGCTCTGACACTTATGTACTCATTCCATAGTGCTTTTCTTTAATGCGTCAGTGAATTGATGTAATCATTCTTGTTCATTTTCGGTTTTACTTTGTCACATTATCAACCGTTTGTGAACTTTTAGCTCGTGTATTCGGTTATTGTTGAGAATTCTCAAGTAAATGCAGGCAAGAAAAGAGAGGTCACTGTTTTCTAGATGATTCAAGCTATAAATGACACGGCTAGTTCAAACCTGGGTTGGCAACTAAGGCATTCCCGTTTTTGTTGACAGATTCACTCTATACTTTCTTTTGTTTTGTTAACGTGGCCATAGCATCTAACCTATATTTTTTTCTTACTGTATGGGCTTCTAGGTTAATTAGTGAAAAATTTTTTTGTTTAGTTCTTTAGTTTTGTTTTTATCCCAATTTAAAAATGAAAGAATAGGACGTGCACTTCCGACACATTTTATTGTATTACTTCCGAAAAGGCAAGAACGCATCGCAAGCACAAAAGAAGTTATGTACCGTATATGGAGATGAAGCCTTAAAAGAAAGGCAGTGTCGAAATTGGTTTGAAAGATTTCGTTCCGGTGATTTTTCACTGAACAATTCACAACGATCTGGCCGCCCAGTCGAAGTGGATGAAACCCATATCAAGGCCATTATCGATTCAAATCGTCACAGCACAACACGAGATATTGTAGAGAAGTTCAATGTGTCGCATACATGCATTGAAAAAAAATTAAAAACCCTTGGTTATGTCAAGAAACTTGATTTATGGATCCCTCACCAGTTAAAGGAAATTCATTTGGCGCAACGGATTAGCATCTGTGATTCGCCGCTACTGAAACGCAATGAGAATGATCCATTTCTGAAGAACCTAGTTACTGGCGACGAAAAGTGGATAGTTTATAACAATGTTACTCGCAAGAGATCATGGGTGAAGCAAGATCAACCAGCCCAAACTGTATCAAAAGCAGAGATTCACCAAAAAAAAAGATTATGCTGTCAGTGTGGTGGGATCACAAAGGAATTTTGTATTTTGAACTCATGCCGCAGAACCAAACGATAAATTCAAATGTGTATGTTGAAGAACTCGAAAAAGTGAAGGATGCAATTGAAGATAAGCGGCCGGCATTATCAAATCGGAAGGGTGTTGTTTTCCATCATGATAACGCAAGGCCCCCCCCACACAGCTTTGGTTACTCGGCAAAAATTATTGGAACTGGGTTGGGATGTTTTGTCACATCCACCATATAGCCCTGACCTTGCGCCTTCGGATTACCATTTGTTTCGTTCCATGTAAAACTCTTTAAATGGTAAAATGTTTAACAACGCGGATGATGTCGGATCACACCTAATTCAGTTTTTTAATAGCAAAGACCAGACATTTTACGAAGGGGGAATTTTTACTCTGCCAGAAGGATGGAAAAAGGTCATCGACAAGAACGGCCAATATCTAATTGAATAAAGTTATATTTTTAAACAAAAATTCCGAACTTGCCTTCTTATTTGAAATCGGCAATGATTTAGTTGCCAACCTAATATATATATATATATATATATATATATATATATATATATATTTGTGTAAAGTTTCTTTGAAGCCACATCAGATGAATTTTCATATAAATCAATGGGAAACAGCACCAGATTTCTCTGATATTTCTTCGAATTACACCTTGCTAATGCGTCAATTTATAACTTTATTAGTTTAATGTGGGTCAGCAGTTCAGTAATAATGGGGTCAACGAGTGAACTTTGTGTTTTAGACGTACGTCGAAATAGTGAACCTGTTGAAACCCGAAACTGCGATAATGGCGGTCATGTTGCCAGAATACAAAGCTGAAGCTGCTAAAGACATTAACTGTAAGCAATTTCTCAAAGAACGTTGGTATGGTATTCGTTATGCCGTTGAAGGTATGTCAATGCTACTTCTGCCAGATATGTGTCATAAGTAGTCTATTCCTCAGCGTTTATTTTGCAAATTTAATTAGATTTATCAGAACAGGATTTCGCAAAATGGAATAGTACGGAAGCTCTGCCGGATTTCCATTTACCTGAAGTGAATCCTTTTGTTAGTAGGTTTCCGTATATTTCCTTTGCTAACATTTTCCCTCCTAGTTACCAAGTTTGACCTTCTACCGAGAGCAGAAGACAATGCGTTACCACGCGAAGTTAATCTGGGAGCTTTGCAGAAGTTTGGTGAGCTCTGGCACCAACAGAGAACAAAATACAACATCCCTGTTACTCACATGTATGTGGAGTTGAGTTCTGATGTGATGCAAACGCCAAAGGAGTAAGGGTCTCCTCTCTTGCTACAATTACTATTTATATAGAGAGAGCATTGCATTTCTAACTCTTCCTTTCTTAAATAGCGTAGTGGTAGTGGGACTGTGGATGCAGGCTTTTAATAAGCGCTTGCTCACTCTTCTTTATAGTGCAACAGAGGCAAATTACGAGTAAGTTCATTGATTTTCACCTTGGTCCTTTCATTAACTCCATTCTTTCCTAGGTTTACGGTAAATACAATTTCTCGGGGAATCGGAATCAGCGTTGCCGGTTTCACGGAGAAGCACTTCGTATGCACTTTTTACTACCAACTCTACTATCGTTAATAGCCTTATGATTTATGATAACACTGAATTAATTCGTTTGAAGGAATCATCGTATATTATTCTAAATTGCTTTGATTAATCTCTTTCCAGCATACATTTATGAATTTCAATTTTTTACTGTCTATTATATCCTTTGTGATATTGAATGTTATGATCATACATGTGACTGGATATAAGGAATCCTAACACACATCACCCATTATTTCTGCGTGGGATTGGAGTAGAGAGTCAGTAGTGCATTATCTCAATCTAAATGGTTTTTGTCTCATTTTACGCTTTGTTGAACATTGACATTCTTGGCTGTTTAGCTATAATGACTCCGTCAGGCTAATGACCCCCGCCCGCCTACTACCAAGCTCATTAATATGTCTTGGTGTCATTGCCATGTGTAACCTTTTTATTTCTTTTGTTTCCAATTGCTCAAGGTGGTTTTAAGGTAGAAAAATTGGGAAATCCACTGGGTTATTTCTTTGAGTGCCCGGCCCTGAAATTAGCCCACCCCAGTGTTAAGGAGGGCCTTGAGTCTGTTGATATAAGACACCCACGATAATGTCTCGATATCCTTAACTTTGTATGGAAAATTTTAAAGCTAGTCAATGCTTTGTTTTCTTTCCATCTATTAATCTCCTAACTGCATTTGTTTGTTTTACAGCTTCTCTATCGGAAGATTATCTCTCTGTTGAAGAAACCTCTGATTGCTGACAACGATGAGGATTCTCTAATCACCGAAGAAAGCTTCAGTGTTCTCAAGGAAAGTATGCGACAATCTGCAAGTAATAAGCTACTCAATCCCAAGAAATTGAATGGGTGAGTTTCGCGAAACAAATGTATATTAATCAAATAATCTAAGAGGCATAATTCATTTGTTGGAAGAAGCAGGAGGTGGTGACACAGCAGTAAGGAAATAGATTTTGGGATAGGATTGGGGAATTTGGTCTTGGCGAAGAACATACTTTTGCCTTTCCAAAAGAGCTTGCGCTAAATTCAATTTCAACACTAAAGATAACGTTCTGTCATGTATCTTTCTAACAATCTCGTTTATAAGACCTAGAAGACACGGAACTTGGTTGCTGTGGTTTTGTGTTGATGGTTGGTCCATAGGGACGCTGGTCTCATCGATGGCCCAAGAGCCTTGTATTCTTCTAGGCAAATTTTCAGTGTAGTTTCCTAAACTACTTAGACCTCTATTCTAGAACCCCTGATCCTAAGTTTCACATGTTATTTCATGATGGCAATAACACAGTTGAGAATACGCATGCATTTACTCTCTAACAACCTCGAGCTATCATTAGCTATTTTCTGAAATACATAGCTTTCCGTTCGTCCGTATACTTTTGAAGGAAGTTGGCTGTGGTGTTTCCTTTGGTAAATTCGACATCCCATGAAGCATAAATATATTATTAAAATGGGCAGGTTTCTTATTAGCACGTCGTGAATTCATTTGACACTTAAGCGTAGCTGTACTCACATAGCACTTAATAGGAAGATTAGCAAGTTACCTACCTATTCAATGAAGTCGTTAAGCACAAGTGGGAACTGGTGCCATTGACCTCTAAGCGTAGCTTTATTTTAAATCGATCCAACTATGAATCTCCTACGAATTATTTTTCCCTTTATTTCCCAGTCACATTAAAAAGTACTTCCGCCTGGCGGACAGACATATTGCTGAGGACTCCATGAATGCCTTAGAATCTCTCACTCTCTCCGACATTCTGGAGTTTGTTCCCCGCTTCCTCTCGCGTCTCTACATTAGAATGTTTGGTTTTGGCAATCTAACAGCCAATGTACCCCGCTCTTATTTATGTTGATAGCTCATTTTTTTCCTTCTAAATAATTTAATGCTGATTTTTTGTTAGGATGCGCTGAACTATTTCGAGTACACTCAATCCACACTTCGCCCTACTGAAGTAGCTATTTTGAAACCAGTAAGTGGTATTTTGTTTTTGTTCTGGGTGAGTGAAGTTATGGTAAATTTTATCGGTTTTGTCTCTTCTTATCTTAGTACGTCAAGGCCAATATTCCACCCGGTATTAACAGAATTCGTGTGAAGAATTTTAATAAAATCGACGTTAATATGAGTTTAACTTTGCTGAATCCTCTCGTTAATACCCCAACGAGTGACCTTCAAACTGAAGTCCTCTGTGACCTCTTTGCTGTAAGCACCAACTATAGCAATTATGATATTTAAGTAGATAATTCACTTCGCTAAATTTTACTTCTACCTACTTTAGGGCATTTTGAATGAGCCGGCCTTCGCCTATTTGCGCACCACGGAGACTCTAGGCTATGATGTGAAACTGGGACGGTGGTATTTGAGTAACTCCACTTGTCAATCGGGTATCTCGGTCTGTGTTCAAAGCCAAGCAAATAAGTTTGATTGCAATTTTGTGGCTGGTCGCATGTATGCCTTCTGGTATCGCATCGTCCCCCAAATTATCTTTAATTTGAAGGAAGAAAGCTTTGAAACTGCTGTAAGTCTGCCAACTTGAATTTTATTCTTAGCAAACGGGGGTTTGCATTCATAATCTTGTTATTCGTTTGAAATGCTTGTGATCTCTATGACCAACTAACTCTCACTATGCTTTACTTGGCTTTGTTCAGAAGAGATCGATTACGAGATTGAAATATAGTTAAGCTAAGGCATTATTATTATTTCAAATGGAAGGCGTTTTGAGTAGTTATCATTAGCCATTTAGCTGACTTCGGGCTTCACAGAGGGAGGCACATCAAAGTGAGAAAAATTCGAGAGGGGGAACAAAAGAGTGAAATGAGTTGTGAACGATGGCAGTCATGACAGAGGTGAATGAAGATTAAAAACGTTGGGAATGGTAGCAACGGATGGCTGCAACCCCCTATCCAGCTACTGGTCACAGTTGGTTCATTCGATGCGCAGGTTGTGCCACAGTTTGATCGATTGAAGTGTATTTACTTAAAGCACCGGTGGGACAATGGTCAATGTACGTGACCGCCAAGTCAAAAGTCGTAAAGTTCTTGCTCATTTTGTCACAGTCAGTGAGAGGGATGGCTATCTCCCTCCAAGTCGTTGGTTTCAGCGCTTTTTCGAAAGGCCTCGAGGAGTTCTTGGTGTCCTATATTTACCTCATTAGTGGTTTTGTCTGGCTTCTACAGATTTTAAGTGGTGCCTTAATAGAGATAGTTGATGATAATTTTTAATTCTTTGGCTTTGTCATTTAATTTAGGTTGAGGCTGAGATAGCGTCAAATATGACTGAAGAGGCAACCATGGACGTGGAATCGGATCGTGTCAAACGGGAAGTCTTTTCAATATGCCATGAATTTGAGCGTCGTTACAAATATGTATGTCAAGTTGAGTTTTCAACTTCTGTGTGCACCTTCCTCGCCAATACTTTCTTTTTTGCTCTGTAGATTGCAATTCTCAAGCGTTTGAAGTTAAGTGATCTTCAAGAGTTCTACAGGAATACGTTCTATGATTTTGACAAGCAGCCCTCTATCATGATTCAGGTATGTCTCAATTATAAAAATGAATAGCAGTTTAATACTTGAATCTTTGTTTAATGTTAATGCAGTAAGCCATTTACTTTTCCAATTTGCCATTATTCTCTGTGGCCCAGGGCAGTTATCCGGATGGTCATAGAGAGAACACGTCTTGATTAGATCGCATCCCAGTGTGTGTGTTAAATGTAACTCTTTACTTCTCCGTATCTTAATTGACATGCTTTGACATGAGCTAAGGCACTAAACAGTAGGTGTTGAGATGCAAATTTCCACCACTGTGAGTGAGCGTTCTATAAAGAAAGGAATAGAGTGAAAGAAGACAAATGGTGGAAATCTGTGAGTGGAGCACGTGAGAATGGAGATATTTTATTTCAATTAAAGGGCTCGATTTATCATGCCAATGCATACAGATGTGCGTTTTCCATACATTATTATTATTATTGCTCATGGCAAGACGTATAACCTTAAGTGTGTAGTCTTGCAAAAATATTTGAACTAAAACGACTGTAGGGCGATCGAATGTGTGTTAAAGAACAGGAATCTGATGAAAGTATAGGTTGAAGTAGGAGTATCAAAAGTGTATCAACCGAAAATTCCATCTTTAAATGCGTGCTGCCTTCAGTTTCCTATTCATTGTTGCAAAGCCAAAATTTTAGATTTTTCCCCTGTCTTCCAAAGAANTCTCCGGGAGAGAGTGAGCCAATGTGCTTCGCTCCGTCGTACAGAAAAGGAATCAAATTCAAGGCAACTGCGGTGATAACTTCCTACCACTGCTTCAATATTACCGCCTATGTTTCATCCAACGGCGTGTAGCCCTTTCATCAATCTTTCTATATCATATAACACTCGTTTTTAGCGTAATTCCGCTTATTTGTTTGGATCGATGAAGTGAAGTATGAATGCATAATGGCTCTGTGGAGAAATGTCGTCACTTTGGTAAGAGCAGGGAAGTGGAATTGTTTTTGTTGTATCTGAGCGATTCTGAGCTTCGTAAGCTATGTTTTCTGCTTCTCTTTTATTTGTATTCAAAGCTGAGTTTGTCTACGTTGTGGTAATATTTGCGCATACAAACAAATGAGGACAAGAAAAGTTTATAAGTTCGGTCATTTGGATGCTGGGTACTTCACATACTCATCTTTCATAAATTAGGTTTAATAAAAGAGCCTTAATGAAGAGATTAGCAAGAAGTCGAAGGAACATTTAAAGAATAATTATTTCGAGAAAAACATTTATTAATAGCAAATGGAAGGATTTGTGTTAGTTAACTTTAATCGATTTCCTTGATTATTCCTCTCCTTCGACAGGATATATATTTGGCTTAGTACTACTTTTTTTAAATTGGAAACCCCTTTTCTTAAACCTGAACCACTTGCCAATGTTAGTATAGTTTGGCTAAATAGAGAATGCTTCCAAATGGCAAAGTCATGAAAGCCTTACGGACAAAGTGGAGCCAATCATAAATTGTGTTCTGCAAACCTCGTAGGTTTCTGAGCAGGAATCACTCAATTTTCCAAATGACATCTGTGATACGACCCTTTTGAGGTACTTTAAGTATTGCTGTTTCTTTGAGTTAGCCAAAACGATGAACTCCATCCGGTAATCCTTAATCTGGGATGAGTACTAGTCGCAAAACTCATAGCTGTTTCCGAAGGCATATGCTCAGGACCAACTCGAGGTGTAGACATCATCATTCTTTCCATCACATTGGATTAGGTACTACTTTCAACCATCTGAAAAGTTGTATTATTAACAAACGCAAATAGTGCAAGTAGATGACCACTTAAAGTCAATTTATGTCGGAATTAGCGTTGCGGAAATTTATTCAGACGATGGCTCAATTCTCTGATAGCCTTTATATCAGAATGGGATTTTTGGTTGAATGGAGACCGAAACAGGAGACAGCCAGGCATAAACACATTTGGACACGGTAAGTGGTTATGAACTGGTAACTGGTGGATAAGAACGGACAGTGAACGTGGAACTTCTGCATTTGGGCTTAAGAATTCTTAAGCGAAAGCAGACCAGTGATCGTTTAGATTAGTCAAGGACATGAAAATATTAAAAAAGAAAAGTGTGGTGTACAGATAAATAATTACATCATCACTCCTAATTTCGAAGACGATAGTCTCTTTCGTACTGAATTCGAATGTGAATTTTTCTATCAGCCTTGAATGGGAAGCCGGTGGTCGAAAGGTGAGAAAAAGCGATGCCGTTTTAGGTGTATTCAGGGTCAGTTTACCGAAGACATCTTGAGATGGATCCACTGTTTGATGGGGAAAAAATAACGCGTTAGGCAGGACACTATAAAGTTTGCCAGTTTTTATCCTTCTAATAATAATACCGTCGGCATATTTATGGCAATAATTAAGGCCAATCAAACGCTATACTATTGTTTATACTAGAATTTTTTAAAGGCGCTCATTAAATCTAAGAAAATCAACACATTTAGACTCTTCTGGTTGATGGAATTTCGGATATGCCTCTCTACCCATAGCATCTTAGTAATTAACATCCCGTAATAGAAGCCGTGTTATGACAAGACAGGACTTTACTCTAAATGTGATCTCAATTTGAAAGTGGTCACTGATACGTACAGTGCTCCTGGAAAAATTTTGCAGTCTAACAGTATCCTAAGGATTTTTGATAAATATAATTTTGGTGTGAATTTAAGTGAATATTTTCATATTTTTGTTTTGTATGTTTTGCATAGCCAAGTAGCCTAAAACCGGCGATCCAAATATTTTGGCTTACATTCAAATGGAGAATTATCTTCTGTTGTATCGGTGACAAAAAAGAAATTTGGAAGGTTCGAGATATATTGCTTATCCAAAATGGAACGTCAGACGTTTTGCACCCGTCAAGGGGCTGTCAAGTTCCTCTTCCATCGGAAGAAGGAGTATAGTTCTAGGCAGAGAACCCTTTCGACATTGCTCTGTGCCTTCAATCTGTTTAAAATTAAACAAATTTAATTACCACCATGAAAATAAATAATATTAATAATGAAAAATTCTTGAAATTTCCGTTTGTATTAATTTATTCACTTTATCGGAAGAATAAAAAATTTATATGGTACATAACTTTTGTACTATAAAAAATTAATAATATTGGTAAATGTCCAAATTTGTTACTATAAATGTAAGTAAATAAATAAATAAGCATAAACAAAATAGACTTGCGGAATAGCTTTTGGATGTCGTTTTGCTATCATATATCACCAGTAGACACTCCTTGGTTGCGTTATTCTTTAAAACTACTAGGTGTGGACCATTTCCTACGCCCAGGGCATACTGTACTTTCGGGATTGGTCTAGTAATAAGACAAAGAGTGGAGGGAAGATTAAAAAAATATAAACGAAGCGATTTTTTCTGAATGTGCATAAATGCTGGCTCAAGTAACTAGCAGGCAGGGGTACTCTTTGAAATATGCTGATTGGAGTTCAACAAAGCAAGAGGCCTAGCTGCGGTGCCTGTGGTTTGTTTCGGGAATAACCAAAAAACAGTAGTCGTAGGTTGTCTCTAACCCGCCTATCATTCTTATCTAGTTGAGGTGTAGGAGGAGAGGGTGGTCATCACTATTGACAGTTGGACAGTTATTTGCAGCTAAAATTGACTAACGATGCTGAGATAATTCAAAACCATAGACTTACCTCCACGTGGGGCACCCTGGGCAACGTTTATTCATACGGTAAAAAGTCTATTAACTGCCAGTTGGCTTCTCACTTCAAACTATCATCGCCTCACTCCATGCCATATTCGACTATTTCACAGTGTTCACCTCACCTTTGTGTTTGTCTCCTACATCTTTGAAACACTCTTCT